GAAAGAGTCTTCTCAGGTGCCCCAAAATGGGCGGCTCGTCGTTCTTTGAGGGAACCATGTCTGGGGTTTGCTTTCTTGGGCATCCATAAGGAAAACCGGCCATTTTCGGGGGATCCCATATTTTGAGACACACCCAAATGGTGACTTGGATGGGTGGTTGCCTGCCACCCATCCGATGTCATGGATTTGGTCACTGAGCCCAGGTTTCACTCAATTCGGACTGGTTTTGACTCGAGGAGCGGGTCAAAGAGCTCTACCCACTTCTGCAGAAGAGCCATGAGGAGAGGTTCAATGCGGTGGCGCCATGGAACATGTCTGCCAGTGTCAAGGGCGATTTGGAATGTATATAAGACCCAACCAGGAACCAGCAACGTGAGACCGGTGATATGGGAGATCAGTCATTTGGCACGTTTCAACATCCTGAATTGCCCTGCCGGGGCGTCCGGTTCATGGCAATTTTGCAAACCTTGGGAACCCACACCCGGACCCTTTCCTTTTCGTCGGCCAGATAAAGGCAGCACCCCTTCTTGAAATATACAGTTACTATAGCTTCCCTCAACGACATGCATACAAGTGTTCGGTGTTGGGTTTCCTTGATTTGTCGGGCTTTGACTGTAGCGGTCGCTTCCAACTGACGGGAGGACCAGTCGTGGTGCGCCATTGAGGCACGGACGGGAGGGGGTGATCTCCCAAAAGCAACTCCACGGCACCTCCCCAAATGGGAGACTTCCCTTGGATGGGCGGTGGATTTGCGTCTCTGCCAAAACGATCGGGTTCCAAACGCAAAACGCCGAAGGGCAGTTAGTGCCCTGTTTCATTTGAGCACTGCTATGTTTGCGCTGGTTGGTGTGGCAGGGAAGCTCAAGACGTTCCCCCCTCGGAAAGCATCCCGTCGCCCAGGAAAGCTGACATTCGTAGCCTCTACCCTGCTGGCTGCTTTCCTTCTATTGGCCAGCTGAATTGGTTGCAGCCACGTAGGTTTGTTCCCTTGGACCCTTAGGTTGGATTTCAAATGGGCGTGTCTTACAAATAGACCCATGGGACCCCAAGTTGCTGTTCTTTTGGTCCCCCTTCCCGCTTTCAAAGCCCGAACTGGTACCCTGAGTTGGAGCCGCGCCCACACGCCAATGCCGAAAGAAGCACTCTCAATATGCTCTGGGCTCCAGGGGACTGCTCTAAACTTCGGAGCATCCGCAGGCTTCCTCCGAACGGGCGTTGGACTTTTCCTGCCAGGTGCAGGAGCCTTTGCGCCCCTCGGAGGCGGAGCTGCAGGCGGGCTGAAAGGTGGCTGGATGGGACATGTGGGCTGATGCCATATGGCCGGCAAGTGCTTTGGGGCTCGAATTGTTCTGCGAAGCAATTCGGTTGAAGGGGCTTTGGCTCTGGGCATTGTGGGGGAGGCTTAGTTGTGGCAGCCAAGGCCACTTGTGAACTGGGTCGAGGGAGCTAGAGGATGTAGTACGAGGAGAAGAGGAAAACGTGAAGAGAGAATTAGAAACGGGCAGATGGCAAGTTGGGGTGACATTGTAACGGAAATGGTGGCTGCGGTGGCTCACACCTTAGGAGTGCTCAACGTTGGGCCAAACTTTGGTGGGTTTCTGATCCAGAGGATTGCGACATTGACTCATGGTCTGGGGCCACACACCTCAGGATCACCTTAGGGATTCTCAAATCGAAGCACTGGGGCGGGTCCTTTTGGTTGCGCTTTACCCATCTCAGAAGGGGGACTAGGGGGACCTTTATCGCCGAGATTGTGTGCCAGGGGGCTAACAATTCGCCAATCTGTCCGGATCCAGCAGTGTCTCTTGTCTCCCTGCAACGTTGTTTCGTTTCAATTCTGGGTCAACTGATCAGAGCGGTTGCACTATATATTTGTTACTGCGCCTTTGATTAGCCTGCAGGGTTTCATTTCTTTGGAGTGAGCCAACACCCCTAAATAGGAGCCACCTGATAGCGAGAAGCCGCCTGATCTTCATGTTTCATGTTGCCTCCATTGTCGCCCCCAATCCCATGAAACAGTGGGTTTCCTTTTGGTTTCTTAACTTTTGGCTGAACCCGGGCCGCTTCCTCGTTTGAGCCACGGAACTTCCCGGCCCCGAACCGCCAAGCGCCAGGCCAACACCCGCGCGCGCTCCGCGCGGGCGCTGGTCCTGGAGAAGCGGCCGCGACAAGAGAAAAAGTCGGATGCGCGGTTCGCTGGCCTTCATAAGGCTGGTCAAACATGCGTACCTGAGATGGAACTAAAGGGAGCCAAAGAAACCTGCGGTCTATATATTTTAGTGGCATTTTGACCCATACCCAAATATGGATTTGGGCTCCTTTTTGGTTAGACCCCAATCTATTTGGCATGGGTTTTGCTTTTGGCTTCCTTGAAACCACCTGAAAAAGGGGCAGCCTTACGAAAGGAACACACCCATGGTCTGAGCCTCGAGCTGGAGTTCTCTGGTTTGAAAAAAGTCTGGCATATCAGTTTGGTTTGCTGTGCAAAGGGTCAGGTCGGGAATGAACATACACATGGTGTACACATGGTTTCCACTGATAGAATAGTTTGGTTCCTTTGTATTGTACCGGTGGAATCTATCTACTTTGCCCTGCATTTTGGACACACGGAACCCTTTTTCCGCCTCCCTATTGGGTTTTCGGCCCACTGCTTCATTCTCCGGAATGGATACCGCAAAGTGGAGGCATGTGTTTGTTTGCCAGGCGTTCTATTCAGCCAGGTATGTCTACCATCCCCAAATCGATGGGTTGTTGGTGCGTTGGTTTTTGTTGCTCTAAACTGGAGTTCCAATACATTTCTACCTGGCAGGCAAGAGGAATTCTTGGAGGGTGCCTCCTGCCTCTTGCTGCTCATATTTACATCCCAAACGGAACCTTTGGGCAACGCCGGATGCGAATGGCTGGGCGTGCCGCGGTATCTAGTCCAATGCAAATGGAGGCCGTGCCTCCGGGACAGTTTCAGCGGCGGTCACTGGCGCCCTCGGCTTCCTTCTTCGAAGCATCGCGCCGTTCTGTCTTTAAGGTGACCGCTAGACTCCGCTAGACTCAAAGCCTCTATAGACTCTAGCCTCCGACGGTTGCGCTTCATGACTTTGTTGCCGGGCAAGGACTCAAGCATTCGTGTCCTCTGAAAGGGTCAGTTGGAGAATTGACCGAACCAAACTGGCTCCTTAGGGTTTGGTGAACAGTCCACTTTCGGTTTTCTGTGACCAGGGGAACCCGTGGTTTTCCCCCGAAACACAACTCACGGCCGAGTGTGCAAGGTGCAAGGGATCCTCCAAAATCTGATTAGCCTCCAAAATAGGCTCTCTCTCTTTTTTTTGGGGGGGGGACCACCAAAACGGTGGTTGTCCTTTTGGTTTCTCTTAACTCCCACCATATGATTACCAGTGATCCAAAGCATGGTTATCCTCCACTTGCTGGCTGGAAACTCCTTCCCCTGTGCCGATCGGAAGCCTCAGGCTCCAAAGACCACTCAGCGCAGCCTTGTGTTTTCACCGCGTAGCATCCGCTTGCCTTGAAAGGCAATGTTCGGCCAAAGGGATCCCTTGATCCAATGGCCACGTACATACAAAAGGTGGTGCCTAATCAATCTGGCCGAAAAGTTCATTATGCGCCGCTCAGCTGGGGTCTTCTCCACATCCATGAGACCTCCGGCTCTTCGCTTCTTCAGGCTGGTGAACGTAGGGTCATCCACCAGTGTCCAGGCGCCTGTCGTGAGAGCCTTCACCAAGCTGCTGTTCACCAGGTGCTTGGTCAGAGCGTCCGCCAGTTGAGCTCCGCTGTGAACCCACCGGATCACCGTTTGGCCCTCCTGAATGCGCTCGCGCACCGACATCAGCTCCAGGGCCGAGTACTTGTCGCTCAACCCCATGCCACTCGTTGCAGCATCGCCTTTGGTCACGGAGTCGTACAAAGACTTCGCGTCCGTCCCATCTTCACCGCCTCCTGAGGCTGAGCCAGATCCACCACGTTGCCCAGCATCTCCGACCACTGCAAGCGGCACCACATCAACTCCTGCTCCCCTTCGCTGAACGCCTGCACTTCAGCCGCAAGGGAACTCCGAGCCACCCTCTTCAGCTTCATGGACTCCAGCGTGAGGGGTGCCCTCTGCCCCAGCGCCATCTCCAGGGCCGTCAAAGCCACCACGAACCCGCCAGTGCTTCCGCCATCTGCACGGCTCGCCAGCGCAGCGTCCGTCCAGCACACCAGCATGGTCTCTTCTGCAGTGCACCCAAGGTTCTGGAACTTCGGGCAGAGCATCCGCTGAGAATACACCTCGCGGACAAGTTTGTTAATGTCCTTCAAAACCTGCACAGTGCAATGCGGCAGCAACGTCATGAGCTGCCCCAATTTTGCCCCATGTTGGCGTCCGCTCTGTTGGACCCGCCACTGAATAGCGCTCAGAACAGCACGGGCTTGTTCCACTTCCTCCGGAGAGGCCTTGTCGTGCACATCCCGGTCCTCGAAGGAAACCTGCGTGATGCCGGAGCAATACTTGCTGTGATCCATGGTGATCTCGCGGTTGGAGAGCTGCTGCATGTAGATCCCGCAATGATCAAACCCATCAGCCTCCCAAGGGGACCACCGATAGGAGTCCTTGAAGTCCTGGAGGAACTTGGGGTGTCATCCTGCTCATCGCCCACCATGTAGAAGTCGTCCACATGGGATCCAACCAAACCAATGACGACAGCCTCCTCGTTCTTGATTCGCCAGCAGCACGGCTCCGTGATCAAGGTCTGACCACCCAAAGACACGATGCGGTCTCTCACCTCGCAGAACCACTGATAGGGCGCATTGACAAGCCCATAGCAGCTCTTAAGCACTTGGACCGCTTGGCGATGTTCCACGTTCATCGCCTCCGCAAGTTCGGGCACCGGAAGCGCATAGATCTCGCGCTCCTCCTCGGTGTTCCGGGATGTTTGCAGGAACGCGCTCTTGGCGTCGCACTTCAGCTGCGACCAACCTTTCACCGCCATGCCAGCCATGAGTTGCCGGGTCCTCCTCGTCATCGTGGGTGAAGACCTCGGAAGACGCTCCAGGTCAGGGTCAGCGAAGCCAACGATCACGATCCGGGCCTTGGCCCGACCCGTGGACTTCACGGTGAGAACCCACCGCATCTTCATGATGCGATCGGCGGGGATGTACTTGCCCTTCTCCACGGCCCGGCATGCAGCACTCTGAATCCATTGAGTCACCTCCAAGCCCTTCGCGGCCTTGAACTCCTCCTGCTTCTCCGCAGACACCTTGTGCAGCTTGATCTCCGGCGATTTCTTCACCTTGTGAGCGACCCAGGTTTCTGGGTCTCTCCTGAATTTCTTCATGCCCTTCTCGTTGTCGGGAAGGTCAACCGAGAGGAACACCATCGCCTCCCCATTCCCGGACTGCTCCTCCAAGCCGATATCAACCATGAACTGATCGACGGGCTCGGCGAAGTTCACTCCATGCCGTTTGCGAGCAGCCGCGAACTGCCTGTTGCCCGACAGCTCAGTAGAAATTGAGGAAGACGGGGCATAGGTCGGGTCCCTCAGCATGCGTGAAGCATCTAAACCTAAGCCCGGAGGGCTAGATGTAGTCCTACTACCAGCTACAGGGGACCTTGATCTTACCCGTGCCGCTCGGGGGGTTCCTGGCGCTCGTCGGGCCTCACCGACATATTTTGGCGCATCTTGTGGCTCTGAAATTCCACCCTTTCTTGATGAGGTCTTTTGAGCTCTTTCGGTCGGTCTTGTTTCTTTCTTAGCTCCCTCCCTTTTCACAACAGGACCAGGTCTAGGGACACTCTGGCTACGACTACGTTTCACTCCCTGCATCGGAGGAATCAGACCTCCATCCGGATACAGGTCCTTGTAGTCGTCGAACTCGCCCTTTTCAACCTGCTCCAACATGCCGTGCATGGTCCAGGGAAAGGATGCCGGTCTCGTGGCCTCTTCAATCATGACCTCCCGGGGTGAAGCCATTCGAAGCTGATCCGGAGACACCCTCTTCAATCTCCCAGCCGCAACTATCCAGATGATCCGGCTGGGGGTAGCCTCCTCGCCAATGAGCTTCGTCTCCGTGGCTAGTACCCGAGCAGGGCCATACCACTTTGCCAATCTCTTCCGAGATGCGTCTGCTCCTTCATGGGACGCAGCTTGCGCGGGGGCCTTGAACCTCTTGTAGTAGACGAGAGAGCCAGGAAGGTAAACCTCATTGCTTCTCGCCCTTGAATTCCATGCCCGATTGATTTCCTCCTGCGCCACCATCCGCTTATAGCTCTCCTCCGCCCGCATGCGTATAGCCATCGTCTTCGACAACTCATCCTTAGGATCTCGCTGGCTAAGATGGAGAGGAGCAGCGTCTCGGCCACTTTCATGCAACTTCAAATCCAAACCAGGATCACGACCAAGTGCCCACTGATTGGGGCTGAAGCCACCGACCTTGCCGTTCTCGTTGTGGGCGGCACACATGGCCATCACACCTTGCCACATCGTTGTCTCCTCGGACCTCATGAAGCGATCCAGAGACTTCCGGATGACTCCAATCATGTGCTCCACCGTGCCAATTTGCCAATGAGCTTCAGCTGCGCATGGCAAAAGTTCCACATCCCTTTTCGCACACCACTCAAGTAGTCGAGAAAAGGCTCCTTCGGGATCCAACCTCAGGGTGCTGTGCCCAAAGAAGCGCACCGTACTTTCCAACGCATCCACGACCTCGGCTGCGTTCCGCGACTCGCCCTTCGTGGTGAACAAGTGGGGTACGAAGGTCGAAGCCTCATCTACCAGGAACAAGACATGGGTCATCTCGTGCCATCGAAAGTAGCCCACCCAGGGCTTGTTCCAGACCAGCTCGCGTTGACAGGTTCATATTGTGCTCGCTGATCCGAACTGCCGTGCCTCCAAGATCCAGCACCATCTGCACCAGCGAGCTAGCCGGTGGACAACACATTTCCACCAAATCCACCGGCGCCTTTGAATTCATCATATGCATGGACTCCACGTCCGCCATCGCCTCTTCGACCATCTCCACCGTGTTGGCCGCCTCGTTGAACAGAGCGGCCTTCGTCCAAACATTTCACTTCTCCTCGCCGCCAGCCGGCAGAATCCAGCTGTGTTGTGAAGTAGTCTCGACCTCCTCTGCGGTCTCCTCCCCGACCCTTTTGGCCATCTTCTTGGACAGGTTCATCTTGGACCGCTGGTAGGCCGTCTCCTTCTGCGCTCTCACGGCGTCCAGCTTCTTCATCAGACTGCGTTCCGCACCATCCAGCGCCACGTTGGCGGTGTTCAGGATCTCCGGCTGGGTCTCCGCTTCGTTGATCTTCTCCTTGAGGATGTCCTCCACGTCCTTGGCCAGGGGAGGTGATTGCCGGAAACGGGCATGAGCGCCAATCGCCGGCACATAGGACAGCCGTATGCGACACCTCTGGCATGTCAGCCACATCGCGTGTCCGTTCTTCCCGGAGAGAGAGCCACGGCCCATCGGCATCGGCTCGTGAGTCCCATTGCATGGAGGACCCTGAGCCCTCGGGTCCCGCGGATCCGTCTTCTCCTCCCGGCTGAAGTCGTACTTGTCCGAGTCCGGAATCTTGACCTTCGGAGACCCCTTGGACTTGCCCTTCGCCTTGGACTTCGGCTTGCCGACGGCGAGTGTCTCCCGCTGAGCGATCTCCTTCTCCATGTGGATCATGGCCATGGCTGCTTAACTCAGCAGGAGGAGCTCCTCCAGCAGACTCACTAGCTTGAGCTATCATCGGCTGCTGGCCATCTGATTCAAACCTCAAGTCTGCACCCTGTTCATCCTCAACTGGAGCACGCCCTTCAAACGGTATCTCAACAACCTCCGTCCCCAAGTCAAGCCATCCCTCTCGCGCCATGTAGACAATTGCGGGGTCATCCAGTCCAGGCTCATGTCAACTAACAAATGCCCGGTCCGCTCACAATTCACGAGGGGAAGCCAATCTTGGCAGACTCGCGTGAAGGCTGCACTGTGGTTTGCAAAATCCACGACGGTGCCCAGGCGATGAAGAGTCTTGATGCCCAGGAGCACCGGCACGTAATTACCCTTCCGTGTCGAGGGTGAAGATGCCGAGGTAGAAGGTGCAACCGTTGATCTGCTGGGGAATCTCTATGTAGGAGCTGGCCTGCAGCTCCTGGCCATTTCCAAAACGAAACTGCTTGCGCACGTCCGAGAAGACCCGTATAGGTTCCTCTTGTCCGTCCCGAAGCTCACGTCGTCGGGCCATGAGCTCTTCGATCGCCTGCAACGAAGCCACCGTCTCCGTAGCTCCACAGTCGATCACTCCGTGGGTCCTCCAGCCATGCGTCTCCTCTGTGGCCAGCATGATGCCGTCGTCACCGATCGCGTCCTCGTTCACGTCCAGGTCCCAGGGGGTGACATGAAGATGCCGTAGGAAGGCGAGGAGCCTTTTCCAGGGCCTGTCCCCTTTCTCCCACGCTTAGGACAGTTCTGAAAGCTATGGTCCTTCGCCCCGCAGATGAAGCATCCACTGTAGTCCGGCGAGCCAACCTTACCAGGTCCTTTTCTCGCCGGGGATGAGGCCGCCAGAACCAGAGCAGAACCGTATCCTTTGCCCTTCTTGTCCTTCGACTTGCCATAGGTGCCCTTTGCCGTCGGAAAGAAACCGAGTCCAACCGCCTTGTTCTTCATCAGGGCACGGGCCTGGGCAAAGGTCCGGAGCTTGCCTTCGTACACCGCGTACGCCTCTTCCAGCTCTTTCACCTCATCCTGCGAGAAGTCGGTTTCGGCGGCTGCCCAAATTCCATCTTGACCATTCCAAGGATCCGTCCAGCAATCCGACCACCATGCCGCCTCCGGTACTGCAGATACTTCAGGAGGATCAGGCCGTGCATGGACCTCGTCCGGAAGTTGCCGGCCAACCCAATGAACCGTAGGCTCCACATCCTCTTTCGGCTCATAGTCCAGGAGGCCCCATTCCTGGGATTCTTCCACCCAATAGGTCCGCTTTGGGCGGTGGTAGTTGCGCTCTTGCTGGCCCTTGCTTTCCATGAACAGGAGTTCTTCTTCTTGATCACGTAGCACTCGCTCCACGTCCTCGATCATCAGGGAGTTGTGCGTGGAAGCCAGCACGGATAGCCTAGCCCGTGCGCTCAGGCCAGACCTCCGCAAAAGAAGCCAACCCAACAGCTCCTTCGGCAGGACATCACACTCCTGGCCCTCGAGCTCATCCCAGGGGATGTCCTCATCCTCTTCTTCTCCATGACGACCTCTCTGCCATTCGGACCAGTCCCAGTGTCGCCACTCATCGCGTCCCCAGGACCAATCACTGCCTGGTGACCCGCCGGCCTCTGACGCTGCCCGGGTCTCATCAGCCACCGCACCATCTCCACCGGGTTCTCCATCGCCTTCTGCTGGAGTTTCAGGAATCACTCGGGCAGTAGCGCTCGTCGGAGATGCGGGATGGCTCCGGCGTCTCTCTTCCGGGCCCGAACCAGACTCAGTCCGCGAAGCATCCAAATCCGCCTTCGCCGTTGACGTCCCGGTAGGTGCCTCCACTCGTGCCGATCTTGTCGAACTCGAAGTGACCTCTGGAGCCGCTTGGTCTCTCTCATGAGACCATTGAGCCATGACTCCTGGATTGCGCCTCAGCTTCACAAGCAGCTCAAGGCGAGTGCCCACATCAGGCACAGTGCGGCACAACTTGAGGAGATACCGGGTGCCGCTTCGCTTCTTCAGACGGTTGTAGTCCACCTCCGCGCAGACTGCCCAGGCTTTGTCAGTGAGGCGGGAAACCAATTCCGGCCCCAAGAGCTTCTTCTTATCCTCCGGCGTCTTGTCGTACTGGAGCCTGACCTTCCGAAGGTAATCGCCCCAGCCAGACGGATCTCAGACGGATCTCCGTCCCACGTCACGTACACATCCTTCGCCGCCACAGTCGCCATGATGATGCCGAAGCCGTCCGAGTCCTGCCTTGCCGTAGATCACGACGATGCTCAAGTCCCGGATCGGGCCAAAGAGCTTGTGAGGAGCACCTTTACGGGAG